CATTTTCTAACCGCGATGTTACCTTCCCCAGCATCAGATGAGAGCACTGATGAGGGGAGCCAATGGTGCTGGAAGCAATACACAGCCGCTGCCCTAGTCGGGGGTACTGCAGCGGTAGTCGCTGCTCCTTTCGTCCTTACCGCGGCAGGATTCACCACTGGAGGAGTTGCCGCGAGCTCAATTGCTGCAAGCATCCAGTCTGCAGTATATGGAGGTACTGTGGGCTCTACAAGCGTATTTGCTGTGCTTCAGAGCGCAGGAGCTGCCGGTTTAGGCGCGAGTGCAAAAAGTGTTCTTTTCGCAGGTGGTGCAGGAATGGCTACCTGGATCAAGAACAAGCTGGCTCCGTGTCAGAACGATGGACCAAAATGTTCACCAGACAAACAATAATTCCTATCGGAATGGACTGTTTTCTGGCATAAGGATAGACTTGTGTCACTTATTACTTTGTATCCTTATCTACGTTTATTCCTATATGTTAACTGAGAAGGAAAAAAGTATTTGCAGCAGAACCAACTCTGAGTTTGAAGGTAGTCTCCACTGCAATTTGTTGAGACATTCAGCTTCTTTCCTTCATTTAAAGTTAAATCAGCTAAACATATATGTACCACACAGAGGAAAGTTTCTCACGAATATACCTTTTTCTATAGGTAAAACCAGTTTTCCAAACAAATTGCACCTGAGACTATAGCTCATGAAGTTGTAAGTGAGCGGTCCAGAATTAACTTCGTTTTCAACGCTTATGTTATATAACTTAGAACTCTAATAGCATTTTTGTTCCATTTAAACATATATTCTTGATTGCAATATTGTGAGATTTATGTTTTGTAGCAAATCTGCAGACTATAGTGTAGCCACTCGGTCTGTAAATCCGTACAATGTATATGGGTTGTATATTAGGGAACAAGAAAGGTATCTCTGTTTTGTTGTTTTGTGTTGGCAGGCAAGAAAACAATTAAACAACTATCAGACAATGAACTAGATTGCTTTCTATCTTTTTTTTTTTTTGGTTACTCTTTTAAGTAAGTTTGGTGATCGTGGAATTTTGGATTTTATGGACAACCAAAGGCTGTTTACGGATTATGAAAACGTTGTCTGTTTGCAACTCGTCCAATGGTTGCTTCTGTTCTCCGGCCCGACTATGAAAATGGAAAGCTTTCGACATTGCTCATTTCTAGTTCACCACAACCCTCTGCAGTAGTAACATCAGTTTCTCAGACATTGCGCTAGTCATCCAAGGGGTTCAGCACTTGGTAGATTCTCACTTAAACAATAATATCTGTAGGTTGAATAGCCAGTCATTGCAAACGGGTTTGATCTGCCTCTAATTTCACGGAATCATCTTTGTTCATTTGTAAGCTATGGATCGATGGAGTTGTCCAAAATT